AATTTAATTTTAGTGATGGGTTAATCATATTTTAGAGATGATAAATTGAATTACTTTAATATTAGATACTATGGATATTTATGGTTTACTTTTATTCTTCTTTTTCTTCTATAGATTTGCTTTTAAATGATTTATTATAAATAATGGATTATTTATTAATTTAATTGGAAAACTTAATCAGTCAATGAGTAAGGGATATTATTTTTGGTTTAAATATTTATTGATTTCGTGAAAATCCTCTTAAAGTTAACATTGATTATACATAATGTCAGTGATTTATAATGTTTATTATTTGATGTATGGAAAAATTCACTCAGTAATTAAGATTCTTAGATGGTGTTAGGGAAGATATCATAAGTATCTCCTTAAATCTTAATCCTTTTACGGGATATAATACTTCTTGATGATTAATGTATCTTTTCAGTCTTTTATAATATCTAATACTTTTCATATAAATTGAAGAGAATATGAAGATATTAGCAAGAATAGAGTAGAGTAATTGTAAAAATCATTCAATCTCAATGTTTTAACCTTGTGATAGGTTAGATTATTTATAAATTAAGTTTATTTTTGAATTCTTGAAGTAATTTTTTAATAATCTTTTTTGATAAAATAAATCTTTTAATATTTATGAATTTAAACTTAATCTTACAAAATTATTAATTTATTATTTTTTATATCATTCCCTACTCTAAAAAATATTAAATTAAGTAAATCTATCATTTTATATCCTAAATGATTTAAAAGAATGTAGTATAAAATTAGTTTTCTTTAAGTAATTACATCGATCTTATTTTAAACACTTCATTTACTGTTCTCTGTTTAGATTATTAATTTAAAGTAGTATCATTTATAATTTAATCTCTATAAATATATTAATTGATAGTATTTTTTATGATATTTAAATAACTAGTCCCTATATATACTGAAATTGAAAAAAGTTTTAATGAATAGATGTTACCTAGCTTTGGAAGTGAAGATTAAGAGTGAAACAAATAAAGACAGAATTAAAAAAAATATTAGATTGATTGAAATTATAATTGTTGCTTGATAATAATCAAAATCACTTTTTCTATAAGTCTTCTAAAAAGCAACTTCCTTTTGATTTAAATAAATATTTCAAATCTTTACCTTAATGGTTTATAAATTCTCCTTACAATATCAGTGTACCTGATGCTTCTAATAAAGGATTCTAACTAATCCTAAGTATTGTACGATCTGGCTCACCTAAATAATAATAAATAACAAATACTATTTGGTAATAATGAGCTACTCTAAAGTGGTATTTTAAATTATGCAAGAATATTTTTGTAGTTTTTATCAGAGGATTTAATTTCTTATCCTGTCTTTACATCCCATAGACGGATAGACTTATCATCACTGCCAGAAGCTAATGTATTTCCATCAGGAGAGAAACAGACTGACATAATTTCTCTAGTATGACCATCTAATTTGGCTTTTTATTATCCTGTTTTGACATCCCATAGACGGATAGAGTTATC